TAACCAAGTGGATTTCCACTTGGAAATCCACCTAAAAAACCACATGGATATTAATAAATTTTCAGATGGCTTTATGAAACTGGATTTCCATGTGGATTTCCAAATAATTCCGAAAATCCATATGGAATTTGAAAAGCATTCCAAATGCAATTTTTTTCAATCGAAAAACAGAAATGCAACAAATGCTATTTTTGCAAGATCCCATTTCAGGATTTCTTCCAATTTTTTCTTACAAAATTCCATGATATTTCAGTGATTTCCAGGTGATAATTGATAAAATTATAATGATATATTGATACTTACCATAAATGTAAACCAGGTAGGTCATGACGAATTAATAAAATACTGAAAATAAATCATATCTGTAAAACATGAACAGCTTAATATTAAAAAATTTTTTGTCGGTTAAAAAAATGTTTTCTCCTGCATCTCTTTTGCAGAAAATTTTAGCAATATGAAGCACTATAATAATTCTATCAGCAATGGAGTAGGTACCCTATAGGTTACGCCTACAGAAGATGCTGTGTAGAATTATTTGTTATTACCTTATTACTTACTATTATTTATTATTTTTATCAAGTTAATTAAATTAAATTTGCGTCAAAAAGTCTATTAAGACACTCTTTCTAAAATAATGAGAAATGGTGAGTCTACAAGGGTACCAATTACAACTTATATTTCCGCTTTATAATATATTCTAAAATTAAAGTTGTAAAATTTTTACCTGGATTTCCACGTGGATTGATTTAAATCTCCAGATGGATTTTCAAGTAAAAAATCCATGGGGATTAAAAAAATGTTTTTCAGCCACACTGCTGAATTAATGGCAAAAATTAGGCATTCTTGTCAACATTGCTGCAATTTTAGGTACTTCGATGATACTTGCAGCACAAATACATAATTCTACATAACATTCTCATGGACTTTCAGGAGAAACTCATGGTTCTTCCTAAGAATATAATTTTTTGATTTTTTTAAAAAATAAATCAAAATACCGAAATATTAGGTTTTAAAAGTATAGCAAATAAGTTGATAGATGCGGTTTTAAGATGTCTAAGACTTTGTAAGAACTTATATAAAATATTTTAACTAAAACTGAACAAAAAGATTTATTTTTAATATTTTTAGATTTTTGAAATATCAATAACACCGTCATATTTAACAGAAAAAGTTTCATAATGGGTCACTCTAATACTAAAATATTCGCCAACTGATCAAAAGATGCGCCTAAGGAACTTGTATAAAATAAAAAAAACATTTATAGTTGTCAGGACAATTTTTAACGATATGGACATAAACTTTCTCAAAAAAATATAAAAAATGAAAAACACGTAAGAAATATATAAAAATTTCTACGTGGATTTCCACCTAGAATTCCATATAAATTCCTACCTGGAAATTCATGTGAATTCCTACGTGGAATCAAATCTTACAGATAAAATTCTACGTAAAATTTACTTAAAATTCAACTGCTCTTTCGACTCTTGACGTACAAATAGAACAACAGTTCTACAACAAATTCTAATTGGAAAATTGAGTGGAATTCGATTTGGAAATACGTAAGAAAAAATAAAACTGAAAATTAATAAAGTTTTATTGCAAAATTCACAATGGTTTACCATTGTGGACAATTTAGTCCACCTGGATTAAGTTAAATCTCCAGAAGGATTTCAAAGTCAAAAATCCATGCGGATTTTAAAAAACTTAAAAATGATATGAATATATGAAAGTGTGATAATTAAGATGTTATCCTTTCTTTGGATACAATAGTTTTCTTAAACTATTTATTTCTTCACTTAGGAAGCCATTTATTTCTTTTAATGCAACCAGGCGATTAGTCCCATCAGTCAGATGATCTTCCAGACATTCTAAACAGGTTAAAATATTATTTTATTTTATATATATATATATGTGTGTGTGTGTGTGTGTTTTATAAAGGTTTTATAAAATTTTGAGTAGGAGAGAGGCACTATATATGAGACCCAGCACCATATACGATGCACCCCGGTATTTATTTACATTTTTGCCGCAATCACGTCGTTGTTGCGTGTAATTTTATTATTTTTCAATTCCGAAATTATTAAGATATACTAAAGCTAAACAGACGTGCTGCTTTTGAAAATTCGTGACTTAGTGTATGAATTTCAATGTTAGAAACTTTTTTCTGAATTTTTTGAAAGTGCTATAATTTGTAGTGAAACAATCGAAAACAGTAAATGAAATGCATATAAAATCAGTATTTCCAATGTATTGTGCCATAGTGATTTTCAATAATATATTGATGAAACGAAGTTTTTTGATAGCATTTTCAAAATAACATCATTTGCATTTGCGATCCAGCGGCAGACAATATTTACAACCCACTTGACTTTTCTCATGTCAAGCGTAAATTTGACATGTTTATAGTCAAGCATCATTTTAATAATTCTAAAAAGGGTTATACAATTTTGTTTTGATTTGTAAACGACGTCCATTCCAGAAAAAATTGTTAAATCGAATGAAATTAATTTTTATGCGCTTTTAAACCCCAAGTAAAACAGTCCGCAGAAAAACTACAAATTTTGCGTTAACTTTCAGCAGAATCCTTTCTGCGAACATTCTGCAGACATTCTGGTGGTTCAGAAAGTATGAAAAAACAATTTTTTATTTTTTTTTGAACCACTAAAATGTGTGAAGTCTGTTTACAGAAAGTTTAGTGGTTCGAAAAATATAAAAAATTATTTTTTTGAACTTCTTAAACGATCAGAATTTCTGCATAATGCATGCAAATTGTCTGCAGACAGAAGGCAGCTGGAAATTTGCAGAAAGTTTGCAGGCTGTCTGCAGACTATTTTACATGGGACGCCTTCCCAGACATTTTAATCAAACCCACAAAATGTTTAAAAAATTACAATTGCATTACACTGTAAAAAGAAAGTACTAAAACAGTACCGAAAAGAATTAAAACAGAACCGATTTTAGGTACCAAATGAAAATTTAGTACCCGAAGTCGGTATTAAATTAATACTTTTCTTTTTACAGTGTACTTTTTTGTAACTAAAATCTTATGAATTAAATAAATTTGGGAATTCTTAAAAGTTGCAAGGTGTCTGCTGCGTGTTTTTTTATTTTTTTATTGTTTCTTCGAAGTGGGTCGTATATGGTGCACCATTTTTTTTACCAAAAGTCGAAATTCTCGAACTTATTTATAAAATTATTTCTGTTAGTCAGATTGACTAAAATTGTTCACAAATGTGTTGTTCTATATTCGTAATTTCTATATTCTTAACTTAACCAAAAGTTATGTTTAAAAACAAACAGCGACTCGTGTAAAGTGCCTTATCCCTGTTTGAAAATCCTTGTACTAGATCTGGTACAAGATCATTCGTAAAAACATGTACAGTAGTGTACAACGCCTTCCCTCACGGAAGGCACTAATTTGCCGTGTTTTGTCTACGTTCTATTTGGTTTTTTAAATGTGACCAGAATTCTGATTTTTAATTGGTTGATTTTAGGAACAATATAGAAAGTAGTCAAACTACATAAAATAAGTGCCTTCCCTGAGGAAAAGCACACTACTGTACAGGAACATTGACAAGTCTTTTATATGAACTTACTTACGCCCACGTACATGGAATTGGAACAAAGAACATGTACAAGAACATGCACATGTTCATACGTTGGTAACTTTTTGACTCGTATACTTATGCAAGATCGTGTATAAGTTCTTATATAAGATTTTGGATTTTTTATTGCAATTCAATTAAAAACTTTTAAGGCTGCGCAGTAGTTTTCTATGGCTTCTATCGCTGTTTAGTTGTTTTTAGCGCGCATAAGTAAACACTCTGTATTGTCAAGGTAAAAAATTTCCTTCAATTATGTATAAATAAAAAATTGTATAAGTAGGTACACAAGTCCAAAAGTTACCAACGTATGAACATGTGCATGTTCTTGTACATGTTTTTGTCCCAATTCCATGCACGTGGGCGTATGTAAGTTCATATAAAGGACTTGTCAATGTTCTTGTACATGTTCTTACGTATGATTTTGTACCAGATGTTATACAAGGATTTTCAACCGGGGATTACTATTAATTTAATGTGTTCAATAACAAATTATAAACTTACTTTCAAGAACCTGTCTTTTTGTAGGGGTTAAAGGTTTTCTGGGGGATCGATTGTTCAATTGGATTAGTCCATCCGTCTTCTTTACATACCGGTTTACCAAATTTTCACGTCCCCATATGGCAATGGCTAAAGATTTAACAAATTTTCTATTATCTTTTTTGTTCTTTATTATTTCCCAAACGTCATAATTAATATTGACGCCTTCGCCCAAATGTATGGATTTTATCTGAAGCAGACAAATGTATGAATTTTTTAACGCAATCACATACAAATAAATATTTTACATGACCTATTTGAAAGGCCTAATAGAAATGATTAAAAACCACTAGATCCTAATAAGTGTCAAATAAGGTATCCATAAGGTACAAAAAAAATTGTAGAATTTTTATGAATGGTATTTACACTACCGTCGAGAAATGTGCGACATCTGTTTTTTAAACCCATTAACGCCCAAATGTCCAAAATTTTTACCTTGATTTCGAATAAAAATTCGAAAGATTTAAAGATCAGAGACTTTAATGACGATGGGTTCTGGGGGACTTTGGGGGACGCTCTTTCAGATTCTGGGGTCAAAATGACATTTGGACCATCAGAAAATCCAACATGGCGAATAAAGTGGAAGAAACCAAAAAAATTGCTGTATTTTTTTCTTAATTATTTTTCTTCAGATCCAAAAGATTTTTTCCAACTTGTCTCGCGCATACTCTGTTGGTGGATAAAATAGTTGTACTTTCAAACCCTGTACATGCGAACTTTCAATTACAAGATGGCGAATTCAAAACGGCGAAAAAGTCACTACATTTTAGCAAGGAAAAACCGAATGTTGCACAAATATTCAAAAAGTCAATAAATTTATCTTAAAATTCTTACTCTGTGACTTTTGAGGTCGCTAATTACAAATCTGAGGTGTCAGGTTTCAAAAATTCAAAATGGCGGATCACTTTTTTAAAATTTGATCCTATTCGCCTGAAACTTGTTACTTGGGGGTTTTTGGGGGCCACTGATTACGAATCAGAGGTCAGATTTCAAAAATTCAAAATGGCGCATCCAAGATGACAGACAAACTTGAAAAGTTGAGCTGAGTCTACAAAAATCACTACTCGGTTGTTTTTTTGGGTCGCTGATGTGAATCTTATGTCAGATTTTTAAAAATTAAGTATACCGATTAAATTTCGCCCCTTAGCCGTCTTTTTGTTTGACGTTACCCAACTCTCTCAACGTGGAGGTAGACGAATAGGAGAGTCTTCTTTTTTTCTTTGTGAGAGTTGGGTAACTTCAAACAAAAAGACGGCTAAGAGGCGAAATTTATTCGGCCAACTTAATTTTTTAAAATATGACATAAGATTTACATTCAGCGGCCCAAAAAACAACCGAGTAGTGATTTTTGCAGACTCAGCTCAACTTTTTAAGTTTCCGTCTGTCATATTGCTTTTGCCATTTTGAATTTTTGAAATTTGACCTCAGATTCGCAATCAGTGATCCCAAAAACTCCCAAGTAACAAGTTTCAGGCAAATATGACCAAAGTTTAAAAAAGTGATCCGCTATTTTGAATTTTGAAAATTTGAATGATCTTACATTAGATTCGCAACAGCAACCCCAAAAACCACCTAGTAAGTATTATAATATAAATTTATTAATTTTTTGAATGCAACATTCGGTTTATACCTGCTAAAATAAAGTGACTTTTTCGCCATTTTGAATCCGCCATCTTGTAATTGAAAGTTCGCATGTACAGGGTTTGAAAGTACAACTATTTTATCCACCAACAGAGTATGCGCGAGACAAGTTGGAAAAAATCTTTTGGGTCTGAAGAAAAATAATTAAGAAAAAAATACAGCAATTTTTTAGTTTTTTCCACTTTATCCGCCATGTTGGATTTTCTGATGGTCCAAATGTCATTTTGACCCCAGAATCTGAAAGAGCGACCCTCAAAATCCCTCAGAACCCATCGTCATTAAAATCTCTGATCTTTAAATCTTTCGAATTTTTGATCGAAATCAAAATAAAAATTTGAGACATTTGGGCGTTAATGGGTTAATGAGTATAACAGCTTATAAATCTTAAAAATATTAAAACTACAATTTTTCCCTTTCTATTTTCTAAAAATTATTAAAATTAAAAAAAATGTACCTTGACGAACAGAATACGTTCAATTTTCAATTAGATATCTAAGAAAAACCCTTGTTTTAATGTTTATGCTGTTTTATTTATATCTCTCGCAAAATTAACATTTTTTAACGATCTTAGACTCATTGGAATCGTATTTTATTTAACAATTGACTACATGAATATCCTTCCTTTAGAGTATTCAAGACATGAAAGTGTGGTCAAAATAGTTGAAAAATTATTATTATTATTATTATTATTATTAAGGTGACAATAAATGATCAGTAAAATGTGTTAATCTCAAATTTACTTAAACAAATCAGAGATGTCTTAAATTATATATTTATTTCATTTTTAAACACAACATTTTGTTATGCGAGGGACTTTTAATTTTTCGACTTTTTTTGCGCTACATTCACGTCTTGTATACTCTAAAGCAAGAACGTGTATATAAATTGTTTTTATTAAGTTAAATTGTTTAATAAAATACGATTCCAACGAGCCCAAGAAGGTTATAAAATGTTAATTTTTGACAGAGATATAAAGAGAATAGTAAAGACATTAAAAGTTTGATTTTTCTTAGACATCTAATTAAAAAGTTAACCTATATGTGACGCCGCACGAGAAAAGGTACCTATCCCCGAAATAACATTAGGCTTAGTTTTCCGTGTATAGTGCACGGAAAACTGAGCCTAATGTTATTTCGGGGATAGGTACCTTTTCTCGTGCGGCGTCACATATAGGATCCTATAAAAAAATCTATGGTTGCCTCCTACACGGAGAGAAAAATCTAGCTTTTATATTACTGGTTTTTTTCATGCAACGATTGCAAACTACCCACGTTAATTTGATAGGACACTGCAAAAAAGGCGTGGCCTTTTAGTTGCATGATTCCCGCAAACCGAAAAACCATGAGGCTCTTGCAATCGCAGTCCCTTGCGTTTGAAGTATATTTTCGTGCTTTAAAAACCTGAGCTTCTTATCAAAATTGCTAGAATTTTATGCTGTTTTACTAGAAAAGTGTTAATGCGGAAACCGTATAACTTTTCAAGCTATAAAAGCTAGATTTCTCTCTACGTGTACAAGAAATGAAACCGTTGGTCTTATAAGATCCTATGTCTTTAAAGGATCCTATGTAGGATCCTTTAAAGAATTTTACAAATAATGCTATTTATTATTTGAGTAAAACGTTGCAATTATCACTATTTTTTATAAAACTAATTTTTTGTTTTAATTTTTGTAATCAAACAATTCTTAGTCATTATTTATATATTTACCTTCTTTGATCCATTTTTTACAGTGCGTTGAAATGTTGCGTACCGCTTTAACTTTGAACAATCAGGTTCATCATCAGAATCAATTTCGTCTAAAAATATAAATTAGGAAATATAATAATACTTAATATGATATACACTGGAACTATCGTTTTTCCCGCAGAATTCCAGGTGGAGAAAGAGTCTGTATGGATTTCCACATGGAAATCCACATTGAAATCCATGCTGAAATTCGCATATATTTCTATGTAAATTTCCACATGGATATTTCTTTGACATTTATACACGGAAAAAATTTCGAGACATCACATGCGCTGCCTACCACGCATCGTTTGTGCTTGAGTTATGTACGTGTGATGTGCATTTTCGAGACATAGACTACGTTATAGCAGACGATCTTGCGATGCGCAAAGAAAACACGCCTGATGTCTCGAAAATGCACATCACACGTACATTTTCGAGACATGGGACGTGCGATGTGAATGTACAGCGCATGCCATGTAGTTCTCGAGGCATCCGCACAGCAGATGTCTCAAAATTCTTTCCGTGTAGTTAACTTTAAATATCTTAAATAACTTCTTTAGAAACGTAGAAAATAGTGAGTGAGATCCTTTGGGATTTCAAAATTTGAATTTCATGTTCATTTTTGAAAATTTGAAGAGTCAGGTCAAGGAAATAAAAAAATTTTAACACGGAATTCCGCTCGAGAAATCTGATCGGATTTTTTAAATAACTCCTGACTCATTATGGCTTCAGATTTTAGAGATAAATACTTTCGGGTTGTTGCTCCCGGTGTAAATTCATGTACATGTTCATCTGCGTGAACATGCACATGTGTCATGTACATGCTCAGTTTCTTCTACATGTTAACGTACATGATTTTGGACCGTGTACATACACATGTTCATGTACGAGTCCATATGTCAAAAGTCTCTGACGCATGAATACGCAAATGATCATCAACATGATCATGTACATATTCATATGTAAACAAAATTTTTACATATGAAATTTGAAGAAATTGTAAATTATATTCATAAGACTTCTCTAATTAAGCATGTAAAAAACTACTGCGCAGCTGTAAGTACTCTAGAAACCCACTGCGCAGCCTTTAAAGTTTTCATACTTGAGATGCTCCTGCACACGCAGGAGAAACTGACCATGTTCATGTACATGACACATGTACATGTTTATGCAGATGAACATGTGTATGAATTTTTAACCGGGCTGACTGACTGTACATTTTTAAATACCAATTCAGGATTATCCCATACTCAATTCGGATTAAGTTTTTTAACCATATTAAATCCGGAATATTGCAAACTGATTACGAATATTGTAGACACGAATTTTGGATTATCTCAGACTCATTTTAGATTCAGATTTTTCACCAGACTAAATATCTGGATAATACCTGACTGCCGGATTTTACTGAACTTCTTTTTGATTATGATTTTTGACTGCACTTGTTCCAGATTGTTGCGCACTAAATGCGGAACAGCAATTATTATTGTTTACTGGATATTTGCATGAGTGTGACAATAGCCATGAGAAAAATGTCACATAAGACACACATCTATTAAAGTAAATATTATATATTACCTGAATTAGATAACTCCTCAACAGTGTTTGTTTTATTCTGAGAATTTTGCACTTTCTTTTTTTTCTTTTCTTTTTGATCCTCACCTAGAAATATAATTCAATTCAAAAATTTTTATCTGGTGACTTAAATCTTATTTTATTTTTAATTTTTTTTTTACTTTTACATACATCCATTATCTTAAACTAATGAGTACAAAATACCCTATAACAAAGCTGTAATTAAAAAAAATTCATTTAATACAGAAAATTTCAACTTTTTTTTAATTCAACGCATGGAATAGAAAAAGGTAAACTTCTAATCCTGTTAATCCCGTTCAAGAAAAATAAAAAAATGAGCAAAAGAAATCGAACCCAAACTTTCTCGCTACAAGTCTATAGAAACAGGTGACCACCCGGTGCGCACGGGGACATGGGATGTTTTAAAGATGTCTTAAGGACGTCTTTTGGACGTCCATGTTCGTCCCGCGAACATCTTGAAGACGTCGCATGTCCAAAAGACGCCTTTAGGACATAAGATGTCTTTAAGACGTCCTTAGGACGGACATGGACGTCTAAAAGACGTCCTAAAGGCATCTTTGAGACATCCCATGTCCCCGTGCCCACTGGGCAATCAACCACATAAATTTGGAAATGAATTTCCAAAATGAAACTCTTGATATCAAACTGAAAAAGAAATGAATAGGATTTAAAAAAGTCGAATATGAATTCTGAAAGCAGAATTGAACTTTGATTATCATATGTTGCAGAAAATTAGAATTTTCTGCTTTATGGCATTGAAATAAGTTAAAAAAAATAAATTAATTTCACTTTTGGAATAGAAAACTTTCATTTTCATCGACTTTAGAAAGAATTTTTTTGGAATTAAAAGAATCAAAATTGTATTGTCCTTAAACGGAATTAAGAGTCACCTATTTTATATTTTTATCTAACAAAAATTTTGCAATTAAAAATTTAAGAAATCTATTCCACAAATGGAGTACAAGTTGCATTTCGGTATAGAAAAGAATTGATTTTTCTAATTTTCTATCCCATTTAAGATTATTAAAAACAAAAGCAAAATTTCTGGATCAAATAGAATAAATTTCAAATTTTAGAAAAATGAGTTAATTTTAATTCTTCTTAATTCCTGCCTTCTTACCGGGTAACAGGTTGTAGACTTATATTTATAGACTATTTAAGTAAATGTTATAATACATTACCTAAATTAAATAAATCTTCATCAGTGTTCGATTCAATGTGAGACATTTTCTTTTTCTTCGATTTTTTTTGTTCCACACCTGCAAATATATTTTGTTTTGAAATACTAAACTTCTCAATTTTGCATTATTTTACTTTTCTTTTAGTTTTAAATACATCGATTCCAAGAAACTAATGACTTTAAAATAACAGATTGTAGCCATCAGTGACTGCGTGTGGAAAATTAAAATGCATTTTGAGTTTAAAACAAGAACATTTGATATGACGTGCCCGGATATTTTTCCGAAACCAATTTTCCGAAGGTACAATTTTCCGAAAGTAAAAGTTCCAAGTCCAAATTTCCGAAACCATTTTTCCTAAGGCAATTTTCCATATATCAATTTTTCCGAACATCAGTTTTCTGAATAATAATTTTTCCGAATATCAATTTTGCTAATTCAAATTAATCCGAATAAAAAATTTTCTGTAATTAAAATTGTTTTAAATAAGTACACTTTTATGAAATTGTTATACTGGTCTATTTGTTGATATTTCCTAGATGAGCTTCAGTGTGTACCATCAATTAACATTTGCTGTATTCCATATACTTTGGACATCAGTTCACATTTGTCTATTGAAAATGTAACTGTGAAGTTTAAGGTTTAAATTTTGAACGTTTTGAATGCGTTTTTATTGTGATTCTTATTAAATTATGAAGTAGTACCTATATAATTATTATTCTTTATAAAATGACGTCCCAGATTGTAATTTTTGGAAAAAAAAATTATATATTAGTTAGATTATTTGAGAGCTCTAGCTCACACCATTGTTTTGTAATGCCAACTTTTATTTAAAAAAAAATTCGGGATTATTAACTTTCGGAAAATTAGCATTCGGAAATTTGGATTCGAAATTTTTAATTTCGGAACATTTTACTATTGGAAATTTTTACTTTCGGAGAATTGGTTTCGGAAAATTAACCGGGAAGGTTGACATGGGCTTGACATGGGCATAAGAAGCAGTTTTTACAAACAGATTTCGGATAATTCAGGAATAATTTCGATTTTAAATTTTTAAGCGGACTACCTCTTTATGGTTGTGTACTGACTGTACATAAAGATTCCGGATTTTTCCGGACTCACTTTGCATTAGGATATTCGACCAAACCAAAATAAGGTGAACCTAAATTCGAAATTTAATTTTTTACAATTTTCAGACTAATCAGTATTAGTATGTCCGAACTTAATCCGGAATTAGTCCAATTTTAACGTCACAACATACTGTCACATAAATAATTTACAACGGCTACGTAATAAGTCTTTCTTGACACATATATAATGAGATTTTTAAGTATACAATTATTGTATAACTCGTGTAACACCAAATTATTACCAAATTATATTACCTGAATTAGATAACTCCTCATCAATGTTTGCTTCAGTTTTAGAATCTTGCACTTTCTTTTTTTTCTTTTTTCTTTGATCCACATCTAGAAATATAATTCAATTTTTAAATTGTTAACTACATACTATAGACTCTTAACTCCTTTGCAGTGTAGTAAAAATAAAGTTTTCGTGACAAAAATGTGGTGGAAAAAATTTTTTTCAAAAAACATGATATTAGATTGTATGTTTTTGGGGACGATGCACCCAAATATTACATCAAAATTAAAAATTGTAAACAGCGACTTTAAAGTAAAGATAAAAAAAAATTTAATTGTACAAATCAATTAAATTAAAAATTTTTTTGGTTCTCTTTTGAAGTCGACACTAAATTTTCACTAAATATTCGGATTTAGCGACCCCGAAAATTCTCGAGTAAGCATTTTCAGCTAGATTCGTCAAAATTAAAAATTATGGACAAAGCCGTCAATTAATTTTCTTTATTTTGTCTACAGATTCGAATTCAGCGACTCCAAAAACTCATATCACACTGAGTTATTTTAGATACTACTATAGCACATTTGTGGCATGAATTTTTTATGCTTCTATAGAGACTAAACACTGTGAAGAGGTTAAGTTTTACTTCATTTATTTTTCTTTTAAACACATGGATTTCGAAAAATTATTTATAATTTTCAAAGTAATACGCTATACATGTAAAGCAAAATCTATTATTGACGTAAAAGAGTTAAGAAGCTTGTTTGGATTGCCTTCTTTTTTGGGACTAGAAAAGTCACCGCAGACATTTTGCCGTCCAAAGTAAAAACATACACAAGGCATAATTCTTTCTACAAACTTTCTACAAACAAACATAATTCTTACAAACATTCTTTCTTATTTATTTTTTCACTTTAGACAACAGAATTCAAGTAAGGTCCAAAGAAACAGCTAACTTGAATTTTTTTGGTGAATTTCCTAGTTCTGAAAGGGAAAGCTTATATGGCTTTGTATGTACTTGAAAAAGCAAAAATGATGGCAATGCTTCTGTTGTTTATCTATTTCTGCGATTCAGATCTGACAAACCGCAAAAATATTTTTTCAAAACTTTTTGAATTCGAAATTTGAATATCATTAAAGTGAAAAATATAAAAAAAAGCAATATATTCTGTATGGACTTTAGTAATTTTCATTAAATTTAAGTAATTCAATTATTAATAAAGTTTTATCTTGAGGAAATATAGTAAGCGTAAACACACCTGAATTCATTGGACTTCTATTATCCAGTTTTACTTCTTCTGGAAGAGATTCTTCACCCTCATCTAAAAATTTATTGATATATCATTTTCAAATTTTTACATATGGCAGAGATCGATTATGAATTTTGTGTGTGAATTAGTTACTAAGTTACTAAGTTACCAATTTTTCAGTCCTCAAAAGTTAATGCAAATTTTTGAGAATGAAAAGTGTAATTAACTTGAAAAATAATATAAATTACATATGTAAAATATTTAGATGCGTTTGAAAGAACGTGAAACTTTGTGACTTGCTTTCTCTTTTTCTATTATTATCCATTTTTCTAAATACACAAAGTAAATAGTTTGAGAATGGGAATGTACATGCAATTTCCTTACCATCAGAGAAACATAATTTTCTTTTCGGTCGTTGATTAAGCTCCTTCTCAAGTCCCTCATTTCTCTCTTTTAGATAATCAAGTTGCTTTTGCATTGTAGACATTGCTTCTTTTAGCTCATTAAATTTAATTACTTCACTGTCAAGTGCACTTGATGTAGACGTGTTACTTTTTTTAGGTGATTTCAAAAAGGATGCCTTCATCAAATTCTCTTCTTTTTTTTTTAAATTTTCTTTATCCATTTTTAATTTTGCTTTGGCAGTTGCAATTTCTTTCGCCTATGGATTATATTATATAATAAATTTTTTAATTATAAAATTAATCGAAGCATTCCCAGTTTGCTTGTCGCACTCATACGTTCTCATGGAAAGATATGAGTACGACTAGACCTTTACTCAATAATAATTTACGAAGATTAAGAAGGGATTACATACATAACATTTCATGAAAATGTAACGTAATTCAATATATTCTATTTTTTACATTTCCGTTCATTACGGTTTGGCAAAAAGATCCAAGTTGAGTCAAAATATTTTTTCCATATGTAACGAGTTCTTCATAATTTTCAATTTAAAAGCCTTAATCGTTTTTTAGTTTTAGAGTGGATTTGTTAACTTGAAAACATTCGAGTTCTCGAGTAGGTTTGAAAATTCAAAAATTTTTTAATGGATATGAAAGCCACTATTAAACCTTATTCGTGTCTGAACTGTGACTCAAATTCATTTACTTTTCGCCTCTAATAGGCAAAAGAGAACAAATAAAGCTATCCTTTATAAATGAATTATCTAAGCATCAAATTATACTTTTTTCTTGAAATAAATTAGTTTATCAATTTTAATACTTTTTGCATCCTCATTTAAAGAAACAATATCAAAAAAATAGAAAAGTGGTCGCATTTCAGTTGCAGTTTGTTATATTTATAATACTGAAATGGCGCTAGAAGATTCGCCAATAGGTCAAAAAATGCGTTTTGAAAAACTCTACAAAATGGAAAAAGATCATCTGTAGATTTCAGAACATTTTTTTAAAATTATGGTCAAAAAACGATTTTTAATAAATTTTTAAATGCAAAAAAATTAGTTAATCTTGATTAATTAGGGTAAAATAAGTACTCTCATTATTTGTCTGCCAATGAAATCTTCAATTTAAAAAAAATTCATCCCTATAGCTCCTAAGGGCTTTGAGAGATTTATGAAAATGTAATGTACACACACACACGCGCGGATCGACAATTTTAAAAAATATCATTTTTGCACTCCTGAGGTCAAAAAACAAAGATACATAAAAAAATTGAGTTTTAAAAATTTTGGTATTACAATACTTCCTCCATGAGGAATCAAAGGAACAAAAAGAACAAAACAAAATTGCGAATGTATTTTGATTCGCTGAAGTGAACGAAACAAACGTAGAATCTAATTTTGATTCGGTTTGGTGAACGAAACGAAAGTAGAACCTACTTTTGATTCGGTTTCGATAAATGAAACGAAATAGTAAAATGACACTTTTGACTTGTGAGGAGAAGTGTAATTTTGAATAGTGTGTATGCACATCATGTAATAGTAAGAAACATTTCAAATCGTCAATTACAGCGTGTTAAACAGAATTAAAATTGAATTGTTTTTTTAAAACGAAACTAAACAAATTTGACTTTTGATTCTGTTGTTGAAATAAAAATTAAAAGAAGTAAACTTTTGATTCTGATATCGAAACCAAAACATAATAAAAGTGGAGTTTCGATTCTGATTCCCTATCCGCCCCACCTTAAAATATCTGACTGTAATTCAGTCCGTATCATTTCATACGGAAATCCATGTGGAGATTTGAAAAGATCCGCTTTGAATGTTAAGCTTTAAATATGTTAAACAACCTCTCTAAAAATAAAGAAAAAAAATGAGTCTCAAAATTCGACTTTGGTGTCCATTTTGAAATATCTCTTAATGCTTAAAAGTTGAAAAATTTTCCACACGGATTTTCGATCAGATTGTTTCAAATCTCCACATAGATTTCCGCCCGAAAAATCCATGCTGGATTTTTTTAGTTGGACGCGAAACAAAATAAAGTTGACTCTGATTCCCTATCCGATACAAAATAAAAATGTTATTGAATTTTGTTTTGATTGCGTGAAGGTCCCTAATTAAATAGTTTACAATTTACAAATGAATTTTAAATTTAAGTATCAATATTTCAAATTAAATTAAAAACAATATAAAAATTGTATGTACCAATTTAGAGAAAGAAGGTGACCATTTAGAGAACAAATATTTATTTCCTTTTTTTTAATTTTAAAATTAAAACAATTGTTTACCAATATTTTTCACGTTTAATGATAGGTATATTTTGTAAAAGTATAACAAATTTTAAAAACACTCTTGGAGCAACTAAAAGCTTGGAAAATGCAGAAATTACAATATTTTGAAGTTAAAAAAAATTATTTCCAGATTAATTTTTCACATAAATTTTTCGTATAAATACTTATTTTATTATTGATGAATTTTCAAATTATTTCCTGAAAATACACTGCCAATCATCTGGACCATTCATTTTTAGTGAATGAAAATCGTCTTAAAACATAAAATGTACATATGGAAACTATAATTTTTTTCTTATTTTTTAAAAGTTGATGAAATTATGAGAAAAATAACACCTGGAAAGTCATTTTACCAATATTCTCTTTAGATATTTTTTAATGAAGTCTGATATTCAATGTTTAAAAAACTCGAATAACTTCGAAAATAATGAACGCTTTTTCATATTCTTGGGCTTATTGTAAAGGTATTTTTTATAGAATGAGAATTATTTGTAAGCATTTACGAACATAATTTTTTTCTTAAAAAATGCAGGACGTCAAAGTTGTAACAAAAGTTTCTAAAAATTTTAAACAATTTTTTTAACGGAAAAATGATTTTTAAAGTTCAAACAAATTTATTTTACGCCATTTTCTTAAAAAAATCTAGATAATAATAAGTTTTATACATTTTATATAAGACTTTTTTTGGTATAAAAAATTTCATTTAAAATTTTTGAGTTTTTTTTATACAATTTTGACATCTTGCACTTTTTAAGAATAAAATCACACGTTGATGCTTATATGTACTTAAGTAATTTTCATTTTATAGAAAACTACTTTCTATGCAGGTCTTATTCTTCTAACAACTTTATTATTTTTTAGAAAATAATCAGAAAAAATTTTAATCTTCATAAATTTTATTTTATTATGTTGTTCATTCATCAAATAATCCCAGAAAATGAAAACTAATTCAGTCGAATTGAAATGAATTCACCCAGGGCTTCAGTGAATCCCGCTTTGCAACAAATTCGAATTGGATCTTGCCAAAAAAGTTAATTCATTTCAATTCATCTAAATTAGTTTTTTTTACTGGTATGAGTGGTTCCACAATTCTAAGAAGTAGTGTAATTACTTGAATGTCATTCCCACACAGCACAACATCTTACACCAGGCCTACAGCAGGCTTACATGTAAGGTTTGTAAGGTAACATCGTAAGCCCATAGTAGACTTACAGTAAACCTAAAATGTCCGCCTTACAGTAAGCTTACATGGTAGGGTCGAGGTAAGCTTACACGGTGAGGTCGAGGTAAGCTTACACGGTAAGGTCGAGGTAAGCTTACATGGTAGGGTCGAGGTAAGCTTACATGGTAGGGTCGAGGTAAGCTTACATGGTAGGGTCGAGGTAAGCTTACACGGTAAGGTCGAGGTAAGCTTATGAGTAAAGGCTGTGGTAAGGTTATTATTAAGTTGTAAGGTTGAGGTAAGGTTGTGGTAAGCTTACAAGGTAAGGCAAGTTATATTCAAATAATAATATTAATAATAAATAAATATTCAATAAAAAAATTTTTCTTTTGCCTTATTCTATTTTGGGAACCTATCATTTCGCAGAAAGTTTTGAAAACAAATTTGGGAGGAGTAGGATTCGAACCCGGGACCGAAGTATATACCTAACAACCTAACCAACTGAGCTAAACGGGGAACTGACAATGAGAAAAGTAATCTTGCTTTTAAGGAGTTGATTATCTTCTTGGTTCCACTTTAAAAGTAAGATTACTTTTCTCATTGTCAGTTCCCCGTTTAGCTCAGTTGGTTAGGTTGTTAGGTATATACTTCGGTCCCGGGTTCGAATCCTACTCCTCCCAAATTTGTTTTCAAAACTTTCTGCGAAATGATAGGTTCCCAAAATAGAATAAGGCAAAAGAAAAATTTTTTTATTGAATATTTATTTATTATTAATATTATTATTTGAATATAACTTGCCTTACCTTGTAAGCTTACCACAACCTTACCTCAACCTTACAACTTAATAATAACCTTACCACAGCCTTTACTCATAAGCTTACCTCGACCTTACCGTGTAAGCTTACCTCGACCCTACCATGTAAGCTTACCTCGACCCTACCATGTAAGCTTACCTCGACCTTACCGTGTAAGCTTACCTCGACCTTACCGTGTAAGCTTACCTCGACCCTACCATGTAAGCTTACCTCGACCCAACCATGTAAGCTTACCTCGACCTTACCGTGTAAGCTTACCTCGACCTTACCGTGTAAGCTTACCTCGACCCTACCATGTAAGCTTACTGTAAGGCGGACATTTTTGGTTTACTGTAAGTCTACTATGGGCTTACGATGTTACCTTACAAACCTTACATGTAAGCCTGCTGTAGGCCTGGTGTAAGATGTTGTGCTGTGTGGGATTTATTTTACTCTAAAAAACCTTATAAATTAAGAAATTTTTAAAATAAGTTAATAAGATAGAAAAGATCGGGCTGTACAAATCATTCACAAATGAACTCTACAGTTGAAAATTGTGCACAAATAATTTTACAAAAATAAATTCTACACAAGCATATAAAGTAAAATTGAATTAAAATGCAAACTTTTACTCAACATAATTAAATAGGTACTACAAAATAAAATCTTACACAACAAATTGCACACAGTAAAACTCTACACCGTTAACTCATCACGAAAATATTCTTCACAATAAAATATAAAAGCAAATTAATAAATATTATACACTTAATATAATTCTACAAAATAAATTGCAACAATTTCCTGGAATTATACAAATAAATTATACATTTTCAAATTCTACACAATATCATTCTAAACGAAAAACTTCACACAAGTAATTGTCATTTCTTAGATCCTACACTGTTGCTTGTGTAGAATTTATTTTTGTATTATTAGTTGTGCAGAATTTTCAAATGTGGGGTTTAGTTGTGAATGACTTGTACCGCCCCGATAAAATTTTTCTTATAAGAAAAAAAATTAAATTTAAATATTGTTTTTATCCCACAGGCACAAAAATGGCGCTTTTAGATATCTGACGGCCGGGTGTAAAGCCATTCATTTATTCTCCCGTCTGAAAGTGACCTCCATTTTTTCCCTCGGGTACATAAAACACATGACGCATGTGTTTTTTACACCCGAGGGAAAATGGACGTCATTTTCATACGAAAGAACAAGTGAATCGCTTTTACACCCGGCTGTCAGATAACCTAAAAGCACCTCGTTTGTGCCTTTGGAATAAAAAATATCGTAGGCAACATGGCTAGTTCGTGAAAGAAGGATTTTTTATTTAATAAAAAATCCTTCTTTCACGAACTAGCCATTTATATGTAGAATAAGCCCTGTAAAATTGAAACTGATTGGTAAAGTCGTTTTTGAAAAATCTTGTCCACTGCAAAAAATAAATTTTTTCAAAAAGCTGATATTACTAAAATGTTTTAAAATATTTTGTGAGTACAAAATTCTTTCAAGTCATTTCAATATATGTACTTTTAAATACAATATTCCTTTTTATAAAAAAAATTATTAAAATGAAAAAAAGACCCAACATAACTCTGTTTTTCCTTGTGACAACTAGATGTAAAAGCTGAGTTAAGTACTCGACCTGAACTGGAACTATTCAAGCTTGATAGGGGAGTCCCATGTTGCTACAAATGCAGAATGAAAAACAGAAAATGATTAGAGCATAAATGAAGGTGCTTCTACAATTTATGCAATTTGTCTTGCTCTGCAACTTGCTTTGCATTTTGCTCTTATTTTGCACACACAGCTATTTTCAGATGTCGATAATTTAAATTAATTTAACAATTACTAATTAATTACATGTAATTAATTAATTTAACAATTACTAATTAATTACATGTAATTAATTAATTTAACAATTACTAATTAATTACATGTAATTAATTAGTAATTGTTAAATTAATTTAAATTATCGACATCTGAAAATAGCTGTGTGTTCAAAATAAGAGCAAAATGCAAAGCAAGTTGCAGAGCAAGACAAATTGCATAAATTGTAGAAGCACCTTCATTTATGCTCTAATCATTTTCTGTTTTTCATTCTGCATTTGTAGCAACATGGGACTCCCCTATCAAGCTTGAATAGTTACATTTACAGCTTAATAATTACATGTAATTAATTAGTAATTGTTAAATTAATTTAAATTATCGACATCTGAAAATAGCTGTGTGCGCACAAAGCAAGAACAAAATGCAAAGCAAGACAAAAAACCATTTGTTGCAGAAGCACCTTGAAAGTGGTATATCTTTTTGTCGAATCTATTTTTGGCCATTTATATTTTCGGTTAATTTAAAATTCGAAAATTTGGACATTCTGCTAAATAGAAATTCGATCAAACAATACCTAATTCTGCCCAATGAAATTTCTGTTAAATAAAAATTCTGCAATATTAAAAACGTTTAATTGGAAGTTCTCTTAAATAAAAAATTGAACAAATGAAAATTCTGCTAATAATAAATTCTAGGTAGGTAATTATATTTATATTCCATTACATGAAAATTCTAACAAATTCACTTCAGAGCCTATATATTCATCACTTTCTTTTCTGCATTCTTCATTTGCAGAAAAATGGAACGTAAACAGTAAGTTTCTCAAAATTTATTCAACAAAATATTATCATTTTTTAAAAATAAATGTTTACAATTGAAACAATAAAATTACCTTTTCTTTATCAACTGCATTTTTCGAGTAATTGTTCTCCGTCAACGGAGACGTCGAATCATCCAGTGCCACTTTCTCAGTGGGAAACACAATTCGTTTTCTGTTTTTTTCTCTTTTCCGAAGAATATCAGAGACGCTACCTAAAGAAAAATATTATTATACGTCATTATTTAATAGTTAGGAATCCGGAGTCCGAATTATTCGGAAATAATATGGGTGATTCTCCTGAAATTGTCTAAAAAATTATTGAATGGAAAAATACGTCGTCTGTTATTTAAAAATTTTATTATTTCTTTCATTCATCTTCTTTTAAATTGCTTTTAAAAGAATTCAAACATTATTTTGAAATAAACCGCCACAGCGCAGTAAGGCACTGCGCAACCATAGCCCCTCTCGCGGCTGACCTCTATATAGTAAACCCCCTATACATTTTACTACACACAGGTTCACCTGTACTTTATTTTTTCATTAAGTATGTGTTAATTGTGATTCCCCTAAACTTACAATGCATTAACCTCAAAATTAGTGATTTTTTAAAATCTTATTTCTTTTAAATGAAACGGTTAATATTGTTCATTTCTCGTTTTTAATTTTTCAAATATTGATTTATAATATACTAGTTCTTCAAAAAGATCTATAGAAAATTTTAAAAGTTATTAAAAGAAATGTGCCACTTATATGCACTCTACATAGGCCAATCATGTAAAAGTTTCAAACTTTTAACATGTATATCTCGTTTCAGAAACGGTCAATTTTTTTGAAACTTTAGGAATATGTAGATCTCGTCATTAACTGTTAACATTTTAAATTTCATTGAATTTTATACAGAAAAGTGCAATCGCGCGTGTACTAATTGCGTAAAATTTCTTCGCTGTTATGTGTTGATTTTTTTAGTGAAAATCTACAGTTCTTAGGGTAATGTAATGACAGATTTACGCAACTATTGTTCTAACATATAGGAGCTGCGACTTGTCAAAAAGCTGCGGAGATGAAAACATTTTAGCTCCTACATGGATTTGCTAGCGACATAAAAGTGATAAATTATTTCGCCAGTTGAGGATTTTATTCTTATTTATTGCAAAGTAATTTTACGTCCATTTTTATTGCTTACAATGACTGCTTTGTTAAAATCAACAATCAACATCTGTCTTTTACTTCAATGGTCTGAACAATTCTAATAGCGAGAAATAGTGAGGTGGACAAGCGCCTTATAATCATTAATCACTAATTTAATTTCTTCTCAAAATTTAATCCCAACTGCAAAAATCCGTCTGGATTTTCCACGCAGAAAACCAGGTGGAGATTTGAAACAATCCATATGGAAATCCACATGGAGGTTTGTCATTTTTTACATTTTCAAATATATTTAAAAATGGACATCAAATTTTAATTCAAAACTCACTATTTTCCAAATTCTTTATATTTGATGTATATTAAGAATATACAAAAAATCCACATGAAAATCCAGACGGATTCCATGTGGATAGTTTCAAATCTCCACATGGATTTCTACGTGGAAAATCCATAGGTAAATCCAAACGGATTTTTCCATTATCAAAATATTCGTAAAACTTTATTTCTTACAATGTTCTTTTAATTTAATTATTATGTGTTCTATTCCTAAAGTGTACAAATTGTAATTGAAACAATTTTTTTGCCTAAAGAAAACTTTTCATCAAATTTTTATGTAACTATAATGTAATTTGTAAAAATTATTATAGGGGAGGATGGGGCAAGGATAGTTAGGTAAGACCTTTTCGAATCTAGCGGCCAAACCTAAATATATATCAGCAATCGAATAGTATCTTCAGAAAATCTGGTTATTTGGCTATAATTTTGCTATACATTATTTTCCTGTAGAGTACAATCCCTACGAGATACGAATGAAAAAGTAAAAAAAAAATTTCAACTATCCTTGCCCCAGTACCGGGGCAAGGATAGTTAAAAGAATCCAAATGCTATAATTGTCATAGAAAATCAGTAAATTTTCTGTTTCTTTATTTTATTGGATTTAGACTATTCAATATTGATATATCAAGTATTAGCAACATGTTTTGAACATTTTCTAAATATCAATTATTGCATTAAAATTCGTCTGAACTAAAATCTGAGGTTTAACCAATTTTCTTCAGATGATCACCAATTTCTTGATCAATAAGCTTCTTTTTTCGTATATAATTACGTACCATTATGTATATCAACATAAAAAGAACAATTAAACATTTTTTTATAATTTGCAGTCGCATTAGCAGGATTTTATCGAGCCGTAATAGCTCTAACTATCCTTGCCCCATGAGCCCATATTTCAGTTTTTTCTAAATTTCAAGGAACGACGTTAATTAATTTGAAAATAAATACGATATTCGTGTTCAGCAGAAAATTTCACTCCGGAAAACACTTACGAAAATAAATATTCGGAAGCACTAATATAGAAAACAGTATGATAAACACTACGTTGACATTTTAGCAAAACAGACTTTTTACAAAAATAAACTCCTGACTTCGCAAATGGTGGCAGATTGACTTCCAATTTTTACTATCATCTATTGGTGTTAAGACGCAAATATATCATGAATGACGCGAATTTTGAGCAAGCCGTCTAAACATAACAGCAACTAACTATCCTTACCCCTTAACTATTATTTTTCAATTGTCATTTGTTAAAATGTACGATTTCTTTAAATGTCAATTATATTAAAAGTAGGGTTGCCTCGGGTCAGGGAAATTGAAATTGTCAGGGAAAAGTCAAGGAATTTTGTCAAAACTAGGAACTAGAAAAATATAAAGTTTCTAGAAATACTACCAAAATTCTGTTTTTTGAAAATTTTAATTCAAATTTTGACTTTTCAAAATTCCTATTTAATTTTTTTATAATTGAAAACATTTTCAAACTTTTGCTTATAAGGAAAAAGACAAAATTTCGCATGGAAATCATGAAAAATTAAAAAAAAACAAAATCAACTTTTGTTAGCAACCGTGTAAATTATTCTGAATTTTAATCAGGCAATAATTCAATTATTACGAATTGTTAATAAATTTAAAATTCAATTATTCCGCATATCAGCTAAAAAAATTTTATTATTCCAAATGTTAATCAATTTTAATTTTTATTAATAAAAACATTCATTACGGTAGAAATTTTAATCCACAATCTATAATGTTTAATTTATCAAAATTTTAAACGATTAAAATACAAGAATTTTAAATATTAATAAATTTAAAATTAAAATATTCCAAATCTAAAGAAATTTAATTTTTTTAAAATAACTGAATGTCAGTAAAAGTGAATTTGAAGTTTTTGTACATTTGAATTGGAAAAGATTTTTTTTACATATTTCATACAAAAATTGGATTATAGAAAATTTTTAAATTCAAAATTTGTTCTAGAATTTAATTTTAGAAAAATTTATTGTAATTATTAAAAATAATGAATTAAAAATAGTTTTTGTTGAAAATTTAAAAAATAGTTGAACTTTGGAAAAGCTAGTTTTAAGATTTTATTAAATAAGTATTTGCATTTCAAAAAATTAGGACTTGAAATTTTTGTAAATTTGAATTGCTGAAGACTTTTTACGAATTTTTCTCAACATGTAACTGAATTTCAAATTAAATAAGAATAATAATAATATTAATAATACAATTTTTTAAAATAGTTGAATTATGGAAGATTTACATTTTAGATTGTTAAAAATATGTTAATTTTAGAAGATTTGCAGTTTAGATTGTTAAAAATAAATAAATTTTGGAAGAATAGATATTGTTTATATTGTTATAAATAATTGAATTTTAGGAGATTTTAAATTGAGAAGTCAAGGAATTTTGTCAAAACAACTGAAAAAATATTTGGTTTTTAAAAATGCCACGAGAATTCTGTTTTTTGAAAATTTTAATTCAAATGTCAAGGAAAAACAAAATCAAAAATTGGTCGCAATCCTAACTAATATTATAAACACTTTATTTATTCTGAACTTGTAAAAAACAAACATTAGGTTATACAAACATTTTATTGATTTAAGTTTGAAAATAAATTAAATTAGTGATTCACGATTAAAGTGATTTAAAAATGGCCCAAAAAATTATATACTGAAAATGTTTGACGAAATAGTAATTGCAAGTAATAAAAATTGCCGTAAAAACACTTTGTAATAAATGAAATTTCATGTTGAATTCCATTGGACATTTATAATTTGTATCAAAAGATTTTTCTTTAATAAAAATGAACTGACCTATTAATTTTTTTAATTAAATAAATAAAAAAATCCTAAACAAGCGAAATAATGTATCATTAGCCACTTTTTCTCTACCTACATATTTTTCGAAACTGGCGAAGTACAATATCGCTTTTATTTCGCCAGCAAACTGGAGAGAAAGAAATAAAGTTTTTATTACAAAACCATAGATGTAGAATTTTGATTTGTAATGGGTGTTAGCAATTAATAGTGAGCTTATTTCCCGAAATTTATAAACAGGTTAAAATGTGTCAAAAAAGACTCTTGCAGGAGAATCAACCAAATGAAGAAACTGTCGGTTGCGCCTAAAAACCGACAAATCAAACCTCAGAAAACTTTAAGAAAATGAACATAAAATTGTTTCAGTAATTTCATTTATACTTACTTCCTAGAAAGCAAATATTAGCATTATAATATTCCTTATCATCCCACTTTACTTTATACAGTTTATCTTTCTTAAAATCTTCTACATTTGACGGATTGAACTTTTTTATGTCTTCCACCGGTACAATGGAAAAAGTTTTGTCGTCGAAAAATCTAATGTATGCGTGGGTGATTTGAAGTTCTCCTTCAGCATCACTGTTGCAATTTTCACTTTCACTCATAGTTGAATTAAAATAATTAATTATAATTATGTAGTATAATTTAGAATATAATTCCAACGTGAGACGCTTTCTTAATTTTTAAAATGACGAATATTCTACCAGGGTTGAGCCGCATAAAAATTTACGTTTGATTTAAAGGAGATTCTATAGTGGAACTCCTCAAATGTGACACATTGGGTGATTTTTTTCGGGAGTTGCTGATATTAAACATTACCCAATCAGGATAAACATGCTGATGGATCGGCCAATCACAGCATTACTGTCAGCAACTCCCGAAAATTGCCTATTGTAGTAGGGGGAGTAAGAGTGTGGTCAAGGTGCTTCTACAACAAATGCAATTTATTTGTCTTGTTTTGACTTGCTTTGCATTTTGCACTTGCTTTGCGCACGCGTAGCTACTTTCAAATATCGAAAATTTACATTAATTAAAGAATTACAAATTAATTACATGTAATTATTTAGTAATCAATTCATTTACTTATTATGTAATATTAGCACTGCTTAATTAAATTTAATTAATCAGTAATTAATTTCAACTTTTGACAACAGAAAATTGCTGCGCGCGCACAATGCAAGAGCTAAATGCAAAGCAAGACAAATTGCATTTGTTGTAGAAGCATATTGACAGCTCTCAAAGCAAGCATTTTGCTTGCTTGCACAAGCAATCGGCCGTTCACAACTCGCTTGCTTGAGCAAGGTCGTCATGGTAACGTATATGATTGAGTGAAATAAAAGGATTCTCTGTTTCTCACTCTAAAGGCGCTTGTATACCTCACCGATCCCGAATATACTTCTGTCGTGTACCATTGGAGTAAAAGAGACAAAAAGATATTTCCGTCTCTTTTACTCCAATGATACACGACGCAAGTATACTCGGGATGGGTGAGGTATACAAGCGCCTTCAGAGCAAGAGAAATAAAAGTATACTCTCACCGTAAGGGAGCGGTCACAGCTCTGCATGCACGGCCAGTGCATGCAGGTTTCCATGGTAACTCGCAAGAGTGAGAGAGAAAGAAACAATTGTCTATCTCTCTCATTCTCGTAAGTCACCATGGAAACCTGCATGCACTGGCCGTGCATGCAGAGCTGTGACCGCTCCCTGAGAAATGGGGCCATTTTTTCTTCAACGCGTTGAGTGAGGACTCCTTATTCTTAAGGAGAATACACAATAAGCGCAAAAGCGAAGTTCACGTCCAAGTGCAAATAACATGAGTGCAAAAGAGATATGTAGTCTATCTATCTCTCTTGCACTCATGGAATACTTGAACTTGGACTTGACTTTTGGACCTATTGTGTATTCTCCTTTACTTCGTGATGACGTCACTGACAATCACATCTATTATAAAACAAAAACATTTTTCTTAATTATTCTAAGTTCAAAAAAAAAATATATGTATTTTGAGATTCGTTTGAAGAACAATCAGTTAAAATAATTGTTTAAACCCCCTTCTGTATTATTGAAAATTTATAAAAAAAGTAAAAAGCCATTTCGCCAACGTGAAACTCGTTCGCAAACCGAATTTCAATTGTGCGTTGAAAGTTTCGCGAACGTGGTGACTGGGAATCATAACCTCCATCTACTTATGATTTCAGGTTATGTTTCCCAGTCACCACGTTCGCAAAACTTTCAACGCACAATTCATTCGGTTTGCGAACGTCGTTCGCAAACGAGTTTTACGTTCGCGAACTAGTTATGCTTAGGCCTTAACAGAATTTAGTTCAACGAAATCAAATGTAAATTAATGTTTTATGTATGTATTTATATGTATTTTAATATGATAAAGGTAGTTTTATTCAAAAAAGTTAATTTATTGCAGAAAAAAAAAATATTTATTTAACTGAAGTAAGAAGTAATATCATAACCTATAAAAGGAAATTTACATTCCGCTTTGAAATTTACACACTTTTGAGGTTAATTTACATTCCGCTTTGAAATTTACAAGGATCTTGTATTTTCACTTTGAGGTTATAAAATTACATGGCAAGTCATGTTTTTTTACAACGTCCCACTGATTGTCACTTTTTTCCAACGTCGGACATTGTAATTTTACTCTGGCATTTTTTACAGTGCATCAATTTTTCATGAAATATTTCACAAAACAAAAATTTCATGAAGTTTTACAACCCTAGTAACACGACCGTGAAAATAGACCTTTTCATCCTGATCGTTTTGTCTTCATCCAATACATGCAATAACGCATTAATTAAAGGAGGACAGAATGATTATGATGAAATGGTCTATTCATCGTGACTACGCGCTTACCCAAAATACCGCAGGTATAAAAGCACCTTAACCTTCCGCCAGCCTCATGTAACACGCAGGAATATGAAACTATATAATAGTCCGTCTACAATCTCGCTGACACAAAACTGAATGATCAGGAATATGATTTTGTAGATGGAGCAGTGTAGGAACAACCAACGGTTGGTTTAAAGGTGTTTTCACAACACAATTAGTATAAACTCTCAAGACATTTCACTACGCAATATTAACTTTAGAATATTCTTTGCTACGAAAACCGTGAATTATCAAAAATCTTCTTCTTCTTCTACTTCGTCTTTTACTCTCTCTGAATTCTGCTCTCGGTCCTCATTCTTTTATAGGAGTATTGCTACTCTTCTCCAGATCTTGGGTCTATGATCCCAGCAAATCCTGTTTCAGAAAAATGATTCACTCGAAATAATGCCACCAATGAGAGTCAAGTTCTTGGTTTTGATCTGTCCTATTTTTCTTCTCTATTTTGATCTTAGATGCAGGTGTGCTTGCAGGTGTCCATAAAACGCAGTTTCTGTACTAAAATACGCATTATGAGTCACGGTCATGTTTGCGTATTTTAAAGAGTGTCCTTGACATTTACAAACGGTCATTTACGGCATGAGTCATACATAACCTTCTACCTCTGACCTTGGAATATGCAGGTGTTTTAGAGATGACTCATCTAGCCAAAGTAATTCCTTAAATCTAACAGTAGTTTTTGACCTTGTATTTATTGATCGTAAAAAGAAAGAATTTCATTTTGACAAATTTTAACCCTTCTATCAAAGTTTGATCAATTAATAATTAATTATTTACAAATTAAAAATGTTTAAAAGGAAGAACTCAGATTCATTGTAAATGGACCTTAATTACATTATTATATTATATAATAAATTTTTTAATTATAAAATTCATCGAAGCATTCCCAGTTTGCTTGTCGCACTCATACGTTCTCATGGAAAGATATGAGTACGACAAAAGCAAACTGGGAAGGCATCGTTGAACACACGAATCGAAAGCATCCTGCTCATGAAAAGTTCCGCGATCGTATTCCAATTGTAAGTCTTCGATGCAAATAAATTACTAAGACCAAAAAAAAAAATTGTTAACAATAGAGTGATTACATTGAACGGGCAATCCAATCCTAGTGTCGACAGAGTCAATTCTCAAGCGCATAATTTAGGTGAATTTCCTTCTTTACCTCGCAACAAGACACAGGATAGTAACCAGCTAAAGGAGTTAAAGGGTATTCGCTCACCTTCGAGAATTAATAAACCTGTTATTATGAAGAATGTGTATAAAGGCGCTTGTATACCTCACCGATTCCGAGTATACTTGCGTCGTGTACCATTGGAGTAAAAGAGACGGAAACATCTTTTGTTTCTTTTACTCCAATGGTACACGACAGAAGTATACTCGGGATTGGTGAGGTATACAAGCGCCTTAACCCTAAAACTAAAAGAAATTTTTCAACACTTTCTATGGACAATTTTTTAACTAACGAGAGTGATGGCCAAGTTCGAGAAGATATGCAGTCCAAGAAGCAAGCTATAGATAAAGGGTGTGATTCAGCCAAGGCACAGTGGGCCAGAAGGCAGGCAAAAGCGGCCAAAACTCGATTATTTTTTTTTTAATTTTTGTTTTGTTTATAGTAATCTACATATTTCAAAGTAGATTTTAGCCAATTTCTGTTGCATTTAATAAAACATTTTTGACTCTGCTGTATTTTGAATTTAAATTTGACAGTAGAATTTGAGTTCGGTTTATGCGCGAAATAATGAATATAGTTCAAGATGGTTAACAATTTCATAAAATTTTGAATAAAATACTTAATCTGTATGTAAAAACAAGTAAGTGTCAAGAAAAAAATATTTAAAAAAATATATATACAGCATAATACACGACATTATTATTCGCAGGTGCATATTATTTTTCGACTATGCTCGCTGCCGAATGCAGATTCCCCTAGATTCCGCTGCATAAAGAAAAATCTAAAGTGTAAATCGCTTCATTGTTTCATATACTTCAATTTAATCCTGCCCACTTTTGCCCGTTTTCACTTTTGAATTAGAAATATTGCAAAAAAGTCGCGTGCGAGCACTTAACATTTTTCGACTTTTATATAGCCTCGATACTTGCTTATGGTTCCACCTATTTACCTACAGTCAATTTTTTACTGACAAAATTAATATTTTATTTTCTACACATTGTGTTAATAATATTTATATGCTCCTACTACACAAATAGATGGCGCCACCGTCGGTATACAAGTGAATTTTCTTGTAAAACATGTTTTATCGAATATACTGATCATATTTTTTGCTTATGTTGTTTGAGAATATAAAATTCTAAAATACTTTTCAAATTTAATAATAAAATTTAATATATATATATATATATATATATATATATTTTAATTTAATTTATTTAATTTAATAATTAAGGTCCTAGGGAGCTTAAAAATACCATAAAATTCCAGTTTATAAAAATAGTTTTCTTACGTTTTTAGTTCGTATTGTAAATGTTTAATTTTCAGTATTATATTATTTATGTATTTATTAGTTTTAAGTTATGTATTCGTAATCAGCACCCCCAAAAAAACCTCAAAAAGAATTTTAGCTGAATTTAATGAGTTTTTAAATTTTTTGATCCACCATATTGGATCCGCCACTTTGAATTTTTGAAATCTGACATCGGATTAGTGATCAGCGACCCCGAAAACCCCCGAGTAACGATTTTCGAGTAAATTGAATCAACTTTTAAAAAAATTCGTCCGCCATATTGGATCCGCCATTTTGAATTTTTGATAACTGACATCGGATTCGTAATCAGCGACCCCGAAAACCCCCAT